TGAATATCGGAATAACTCTAGCAATTTTCATATCATCTGGGAATATTCCTTTTTTAAACGACTGATTACATATATATGTTAGGGGCTGTGCAATGGGTATAATTGTGTTTTTTATTAATTTCATGTCTATATCATTTATGTCTTTAGACGTTTTTTCTTTAAATTTGTTTACAATTTGTACTACTTCTTTTTCATTTGTAGGATTAAGGTAGAAGGAATTCATATTAGTTTGAACGGCCTCACTGGGGTTTATATTTATTCCTTTATTGTCAACGTCTTTTGCAAGATTGGAGCCCACATTTGCAAAATATTTGTTGAATTCATCAACTATTTCTTTTAGGGATTCTAATTTGGTATTTTCCTTTTTCATGTAATTTGGGATTTATGACTTTTTTCGTCCTTCCTTTATGATTCTATTTATCACACTCCATGTACCTTTTATATTTTGTTTTTGTGCTTCTAATTGGGTTTGAAAGTACTCCATTTTTCTATTTCTCATAATATTTACTAATTTATTTTTGTACTTTTTATATTCTCTTTCAGCATCTACTGTTCTATTTTTTACAAATGTTTTGTACAATTGGTTCTTCTTCTTACAAGCTCTTTCTAATCCCTTGGTCATCCATGGTTTATTTTTAGGTTTGGATCTATCCTTTACTCTTTGTAATGGAAAGTTTTGATTGAATAGTTCCACATATTTTTGCAGGAACGATTTATATGCCTCACTAGGATCATCTTTAGAATATACGTGATTCCAGTTTTCTTTTCCCAAATCCTGTTGAAAATGTTGTAGTGACTGGGTTGTCTGGTGTCTTATGAGTTTATACTTTGATTCATTTTCATTTTTTATTTTTAAACGATTGTGGAAGACAGCAAAAACAGGGAGGTGGTCGCTTACATCACTAATCAGAAGGCCACCAACTATTTTATTCTCAATTTTATTTGAAAATATATTGTCAATCAATGTAGTTGTATCCACTGTAATCCTGCTAGGCTTATTTATGATTGGAACCAGCATGTTGCTGTACATCATGTTACAGAAGTCTGCAGTTTTACTGTGAGCTGTGACATTTAGTAGATCAATGTTAAAATCACCACATACTATTTGTTCTTTCGCAAAGTTTAAGTTTACCACTTCATTCATTTTTTCATTAAATAGATGTATGGAGGATCCTGGGGTTCTGTATACACAAGTAACAAGTACATTTCTGGAGTTTTTAGACTCAATTTCAACTGTTACACATTCAAATAGATCCTGTATTGCAATTGATTTGTTTTCAATACATTTGTAATGCAAAGCTGAATCCACATACAAACCAACCCCGCCACCCCTTTTACTGTGTCTATTTACTGTGACCAGCTCATACCCTTCCATTTGCACTTCTGTGATTTTATTTTCATCCAGCCAAGTTTCAGATACGGCAATAATACTAAATTTGGAGAGTGATTGCAATAGTTCCTTTATTTTGTCCAAGTTTTTCCAAATACTCCTGCAATTTATATGTATAATTGATAAATGTTCATCCATGTCAACCTTACTTTTGAACTGCTCTTCTGTGAAATACTCACAGCTAATGTTTAAATCGTTATAAAATTGCATTTCTGGGTTTAAATCATGTTCCATAGGAGTCATGTTATATTTTGATGAGACAGAAGTGTTGATATACCCTCTGTGAGTTCACCTGATTTCTTTGATGATATTTTGTCCAGTTCCACGCACTGTTCCGAGTCCTCTTTGTCAATAACTCCAAAATTGAATATAATAAAGGAAAAAATAACCAGAACTTCCAGCCAAAAAAAATATAAAAAGTCATAAACTCCGGAGCCAGGTCCACTTCGGTGCATAGAATCCAAATCAAGTACGCTTTCTTGATCTCGCAGAAATCCACTTAAAGTCTTGCCGATATTCCAAACATACGGGAACATAGATTCATCGTCGCTCTTGACTCGATTGACAGTCATCCTTTTGGAGTCAAGTGCCTGTTTATTTATACTGATCCATATCATTCAGATTTCTTATTGTCACAACCTTTGCTTCTTCTGGCGCACCATTGAGCCGTATTTTCACTTGGCCATTTGTTCTGTTTTCTCAGACTCCTCGCATGTCTAGCAAGATCTGCATTCTTTTTTGTAAGGTGCTCATTCAGATACACTTCTGTGCCCTTTAGTTTCTTAGCTTGACGCAGCAAGTCAACCTTGTGCTTCCTGTTAAAGAAGTGCAATATGATGGCTGGCTTTGCATCTCTGTTCTTTCTTGGCAACGTGTGGCAAGCTGATATGTTCTCGGGGGCAATTTTAATATCTTTACTCAAAAAGAACTGAACAACTTGCCTCTCCAGAGTCTGAAGCTCCTCCGTGGGAGCCTCGTCGCCTCTTTCAGATGTAGCCGCTGCTGTAGCCCGAGCGTAGCTACGATGTCTGGTTACAAGTCCACTCACAATTACATCCTCCATTCGTGTATACTGCTCCAGATCATCGACTCTACGTTCCAACTCTTGAATTATGGCATCTTTTTCTTTGATCATCCTTTTAAGCTCCTCCACTTCAGGGAGCAGGGTGAGCAATCTAGCCTGTTGCTCAGCTAATCTGCTCAACTCACTCAAAATAGAAATCAGGGTTTTTTGAATATCTTTAACATCCTCCTCCATAGTGTGTGTCCGTGTTTTTGGTGGCATTTGATATTTTGTCTTTTGATTTCCTTTTCTTTAGGTTTTAATCCCTGTTATTTCAGTTTTAAGGCAACATGACGCAGCGCACCTGACGCACATGCCACTCACCTTGACTCAACATCAGAAACACAAAAATAAAATCTTTTTTCAAACGCACAGATGGGGAGTGCTGCAGCCTCCGTACATCTAGAAATAGTTTAGTGGCGAGTCCTAGTACCACTCTTGCATAACTGCAGAATTACACACTGCTGCTGCTTCCAGAGTAAAGCTTTGGTGCTGCCAGCTTTTTAAGAGGTTTTAAGAGGTTTAGTAATAAAGTGATGCAGGTGGTGATGAGCTGCTTCCTCAGAGTCCGCTTGGTTCAGACCAGTTTCTCTGCTCTGGTTCAGAGTGAAATTCTGATCGCTCACTGGTCCTCCTACAGGTGGGTCCAGGGGAAGATGGCTGCTCTGTCAGCAATAACACAGCCATGGTTTTTCAGCGGGGGCTTCAGGCAAAGTGGGGTTAAGTGTCTCGCCCAGCGATACAACGACAGCAGACATCAGTGGAAGCAGACGGAGCGGTGAGGACCCCCAATTATTAGACCCAAAGGCCCAATGATTTACCAACTGAGCCACTGTGAGCCAGTCCTACTATCATTATCATTATTGATTTACTTATTCTATTAAGGATTCTCGTTTTAGGGGCCGTGTTCTCCCTCTCCGGTCCAACAGAGCAGCACCTGACCTAAACCTCTTGATGCTGAGTATTTACAGACGGCTACAGTAGAGAAGGGAGTCCCGCATTGACAGCTGCAGCTAGCGCACCTGGCTAACGTCACTCAGAACCTTCGTACCCGCGGCTCCTCTGCCTTCCCCTGCACAGCCACTCTCCAGGGACTCGGCTTTACTTTCCCTCTTTCAGATCCTGAATGACCACAAAAGCTGGGGGCGTTTGTTTCGTGTCATCTATCTCTTTCGTCCGTGTTTCCACCTCCTTAACCAACGCCGCCTTTGTTCTGCGAGGCCCGATCGATGCTCCATAACTCAGCAGAGCTCTGGCGTTTGATGTCTGAGGTCTGGATATCTTTCAACTGATTTGAGAGGAGCTGGTGAAGCGGGAGGCTAATACTCGCGCTTGCTAACAACAACAAAGGACACGGGTACACGCCTGACTGGCAGATGAAGACGTACGAGCACAATGGTCCACACGAGACTTTGAATGTTACTGATACTGCTTTAATACTGGAGAGTCTAAACCTCTTAGTAACAGGGTCTTTCACTGGACTGGTCTCTCGCTCTCTGGACTGGTCTCTCGCTCTCTGGACTGGTCTCTCGCTCTCTGGTCTCTCTTTCCCTATGTCTTTCTCTCTGGTCTCGCTCTATTCTCTTTCTCTAGTCTCTCTCTCTCTGGTCTCCCTTTCTAGTTTCTGTCGCTGGTCTCTCTTTTTAGTTTATTTTTCTAGTCTCTCTCTCTCTCTCTGGTCTCTCTTTCTAGTTTCCCTCTCTGGTCTCTATGGTCTCTACAGTCTCTCGCTCTCTCCCTGTAGTCAGCCCCTCTCTGTTTTCAGGGTCTCGAGTCACTCTCTGGTCTCTCTCTAGTTTCTCTCTCTGATCTTTCCCCCTGGTCTCTCTGTGCCCTCTTTGGTCTCTCTCTCTGGTATCTCTTTGATGGTCTCTCTCTCTCTCTAGTCTCTCTCTCTGGTATCTCTTTGATGGTCTCTCTCTCTCTCTTGTCTCTCTCTCTGGTCTTTTAATTCTAGAACCTTGACTGTGGTCTCTAGAGAAGTGAGTCCCGAGTGTGAGCCAAGGTGAAGGGCCCCCTTGTCCCTGTTGATGGTCCGTGTGCCCTGCTCCCAGATTCCAATCGCATCTATCTATTGCATTTATGTTTGTCTGTTTTTACTCTTTTCTACATGGTCCCAGTCCATCGTGTGAGTTTCTCTGCTGCAGTGGCCGGATGTTACTGATTTGAGGTTTTCCTGTGTTGCTTTTTCCTTCGTTGACCTCGTTAGTGTCTGATTCTGCTGCTGCTGTCAGACTGTACAACAAAAAATGGGAGCTAACGCACACTGCAGACAATACCTCACATGTCGTGCATCTGCGCAATCATTTTGAACAATATCAGAATGTGCAATTTAGAACCTCATGCTGCTAACATGCTAACAAGCTAACATGCTAACATACAACTATATATTTATGCACTAGAATATACAGGATTTATACTTGCTTCTGTATTAGGCCATCTTTTTCTGAGTAATAAACCAGAGAGATCTTGGACCCTCACCCCCTGGCGGAAGGAGGTGGTGTCTCCCATGGATCCTCACCCCCGCAGCAGGAGGTGGTGTCTCCCATGGACCCTCATCCCCTGGCGGAGGGAGGTGGTGTCTCCCATGGACCCTCACCCCTGCAACAGGAGGTCGTGTCTCACGTGGACCCTCACCCCCCGTGGCAGGAGGTGGTGTCTCCCCTGGACCCTCACCCCGGCGGCAGGAGGTGGTGTCTCCCATGGACCCTCACCCCGGTGGCAGGAGGTGGTGTCTCCCATAGACCCTCACCCCGGCGGCAGGGGGTGGTGTCTCCCCTGGACCCTCACCCCGGCGGTAGGAGGTGGTGTCTCCCCTGGACCCTCACCCCGGCGGCAGGAGGTGGTGTCTCCCATGGACCCTCACCCCAGCGGTAGGAGGTGGTGTCTCCCATGGACCCTCACCCCCGCAGCAGGAGGTGGTGTCTCCCATGGACCCTCACTCCCCGCAGCAGGAGGTGGTGTCTCCCATGGACCCTCACCCCCGGCGGCAGCAGAGTGGGGGGGAGTGTGGTATGTCATGAGTGAAGCAGGATGTATTTTGTGGGAGCCTTTGGCGGCGTGTTCTCTTCGCCGTCTCCAACACTCACAGCCTCATGAAAGAATGATGTGTGACGACCTGCAGGAGATGAGCCGCTCTCTCTCTCTCCCTCTCTCTCTCTCTCCCTCTCTCCCTCTCTCCCTCTCTTTCCCTTTCTCTCTGTCTTTTTCTCTCTCTTTCCCTCTGTCTTTTTCTTTCAATCTCTGTCACTGTCTTTCTGTCTCTCTCTTTCTCTCTCTCTCTCCCCCTCTCTTTCTCTCTCGAACCACAGCCGCCAAAGAAGCAAGTTGTTTTTTGTATTTTTGTACATTTGATATTTTTGCGGAGGAAGAGCAGGTGTTTACAGAAATACATTGATTTGACAAAGCTCTGTATTAATATTTATGATCAAACCAAAGCCTAAAGATGCTTCTAAAATATGCTTCTACTTTTCACACGTGTCTGATGCTCACTGGGGACTCTTGCACGTGCATTCCAAGGTGGTTTTACTGTAAACGGCAGAATGTCGACACTGAATGTGACATTAGGCTCATTCTGCCGACTGTGCACAACAATAAACTTCTATTCAAACTGTAGATTATTAGATTATAGATTATAGATTATAATATTATGGATTGTATATTATAGATTGTAGATTATAGATTATAGATTATAAAATTATACATTGTAGATTATAGATTGTAGATTATAAGATTATACATTGTAGATTGTAGATTATCATTTCCAGACTTTATCTTCTTTTGTCTCTTGTCGCCGGTTGTTTGAAATTGTCCAATAAACTCAAACACAAACTCTGCTTTAATCAGAATCAGAAGTGGTTTTATTACCGGTGAAAGAAACAGGAAGTCACAAACCAAGAATTTGCTTTGGCTCAAGGAGCGAAATGTCAAGAAAAAAAAGAATAGAAAATAAATATCTACAGTAAAGTTACACATTAGACATTAGTCTTAAAAGAATACGGTATAATCTCATTTTTAACTTAATGTAGTTTAAATATATACTGTTTGTGTGGATCCGTCTGTAGATGTTTTAGCTCCGAGGGTTTTAACACTGGGATTAAAGGAGTTTGGTTTAATCCTGTGTTTTTTTACTTTTATATGTTTGTGTAGAAAAAAAAGACTAAGATTTTTATTTTGTGAGAAAAGCAGCAGCAGAAAAAAGCTCTGTTGTTTATTGTACGTTATTCACTTTTGTATGTTTTTTTTATGTTTTCCATTTCTTTTCCTCAAAATAATTTATATTTTTACATTTAATTACACACACATATGTACAGTATATAACTCTGCACTACTACATGTATATATATTTTGACGCTAGTTAAGAAACACAGCTACTACTTTTGTATCTTGTGTGCTCCCTGTGTCTCTAACTGTCCTGTCTGTGCGCTGCAACATCGAAATTTCCCCATTGTGGGACGAATAAAGGAACTCTTATCTTACACACACATAAAGAAACACACACATACACAGACACACATGCGCAGACACAAACACGCAGACACACTAGCATACACACACTTGCAGACACACACTTGCACACACACACTTGCAGACACACACACACTTGCAGACACACACACATGCTTGCAGACACACTTGCACACACACACTTGCAGACCCACACTTGCAGACACACACACTTGCACACACACACTTGCACACACACACCATCTTGCAGACACACTTGCAGACACACACACTTGCACACACACACGCCATCTTGCCCTACACACTTGCAGACACACACACACACACCGGCACAGACACAAACACCCGCACTCGACACATGTCTTGCTATAATTTTGTAGTTAGTTCAAACAATACACAACTTTATTAATCATACAAAAAAGCAGAAATATTAAAACCGTCCATAAAATGTTAAATAAACCTGTTATATATTTACAGAAATAATCAGTGTAAAAGTAAAATTATATCTTTCGTAATAAGTAACTAATATTTATGTATTTGTACATTTTAGAGAGAGCGGTCACACACAGAAAGCTCTTTACAGATTGTTTTTCTTTAACAGTTTATAATGTGCTCAAAATTATACAGACTTTGTAAAATACATTTTCAATAACATAAGTTGTAAGAATATAAAACAACGTAATAATTATGGATTTAGGCCGAGTGTAGTTTGGAGTGAGCGCAGAGGAAAACACCCGAACGAGGCCCAGATGTGAGTCCGCTTTCCAGAGTCCCTGCGATCATTCTGAGTCTGAGTCCCTGGGATCACTATGAGTCTGAGTCCCTGGGATCATTCTGAGTCTGAGTCCCTGGGATCACTCTGAGTCCCTGGGATCATTCTGAGTCTGAGTCCCTGGGATCACTCTGAGTCCCTGGGATCATTCTGAGTCTGAGTCCCTGGGATCATTCTGAGTCTGAGTCCCTGGGATCATTCTGAGTCTGAGTCCCTGGGATCACTCTGAGTCCCTGGGATCATTCTGAGTCCCTGGGATCATTCTGAGTCTGAGTCCCTGGGATCATTCTGAGTCTGAGTCCCTGGGATCACTATGAGTCTGAGTCCCTGGGATCATTCTGAGTCTGAGTCCCTGGGATCACTCTGAGTCCCTGGGATCATTCTGAGTCTGAGTCCCTGGGATCACTCTGAGTCCCTGGGATCATTCTGAGTCCCTGGGATCATTCTGAGTCTGAGTCCCTGGGATCATTCTGAGTCTGAGTCCCTGGGATCATTCTGAGTCTGAGTCCCTGGGATCACTCTGAGTCCCTGGGGTCTTTCTTCACAGACGCAGGAGGCTCTAAAGACGGTTTAGAATCCAGAAAAATGAACACAAATGTCTGGACCGTGTTCATGCAGCTCCCGATGTGTTTGTTATTCGTGCATTTCCTGTTTTCAAAGTGTGTCGGAGTCTCTGAGGCTGAGAAGGTTTTTATAAAGAAGCCTTAGCACAGGGACTGTCTCCTGCTAGGACTCTGAGGAGCACAGGGACTGGCCTCCTGCTGGGACTCTGAGGAGCACAGGGACTGGCCAAACTACAACAATAACTGCAAAAAAATAATCCAAAATCCGAAAAATGCGGTAGTTATGCAAATGATACAGTTTTTAGTGTGTGCGGATGATTTCTTATTGAAATGATATTCTTAATTTTCACCGTATCTGTTTGTTAACTGAGCTTCTGTAATAATAACCAAAAACTAAAGATCTTAGAGCGATAGCTTCGAACAGTTTAAAGTCTGGCCTCGGTCCGAAGACCTGCTCCTACAGAGAGTGGACGTTCGCTTTGATCTGCGGCTACTTTGAATTTACAAGTGAGGGTCAAAAGACTGATTGGTCGACTTTACTGAACGAGATAAGAGAGCCTTTAATCATCCACAGTGGAGAAATGCCGGTGTTGCAGCGCACTAACAGGACAGGAGCACGAGAAAACACACAGGGAGACGAAACTGTGAAAACTATATATGTTTTTCTATAGGATTATGTTAAATATATAAATAGTGCAATATGGGCAGCAGGATGGAGATTTGATCATTTTTAAAGAAAAGACTGTTTAAAAACTAGGCTTGAGTCTGTGTCAGAGTGAGCCATGAAACCTGCATCAATCTAAGTTTGGAAATGTATCTTTCTGTTCTCATTGTATTGATATTTATGTTTGGAAATGTGTCAGAAAGTTGTATTACTCTCTCTGGTCTCTCTCTGGTCTCTCTCTGGTCTCTCTCTGGTCTCTCTCTGGTCTCTCTCTGGTCTCTCTCTGGTCTCTCTCTGGTCTCTCTCTGGTCTCTCTCTGGTCTCTCTCTGGTCTCTCACTGGTCTCTCACTGGTCTCTCACTGGTCTCTCACTGGTCTCTCACTGGTCTCTCACTGGTCTCTCACTGGTCTCACTCTGGTCTCTCACTGGTCTCTCACTGGTCTCTCACTGGTCTCTCACTGGTCTCACTCTGGTCTCACTCTGGTCTCACTCTGGTCTCACTCTGGTCTCACTCTGGTCTCACTCTGGTCTCTCTCTATTCTCTCTCAGGTCTCTCTCAGGTCTCCCTCTCTGGTCTCTCTGGTCTCTTTCTGGTCTCTCTCAGGTCTCCCTCTCTGGTCTCTCTGGTCTCTTTCTGGTCTCTCTCCACATTGGTCTTTAATCCCCTCTTGTGTGTTTTCTCTGGTTTCTCTCAATATTATCTCAATATTATTCTTATTTTCAGATTGATATTTTTTATTGTTATTTATTGTTATTTTTATTGTGGAATTCAATGCATTTTATACAATGCAGGTCTGTCTAAGTCTAAGTTTAAGTCTAAGTCCTTGAACATGATCCAATGTAATATTCTAATGCCCTCACCTTTCTTATCCTTGTTTATTCCGAGGTAGGTCTTGGGTCCGAGCCGCCGGGTGTTTGTCTAATCCCGTGCATTTGAAGTGGCTGCGAGTGGGACCAGGGCGGTGATGGATGTCCTCTTGGCCCGGGAGGCTGGCCCAGCTTCCTCCCGGAGGTCACGTCCTGTCTGGCCCCTGTCCACCGCACACTTGGGCAGTATCCGGGGTGTGAGGCCTCCTCTGGCTGACCTATGAGCAGGGCCCTCCTGGCGCCGGGCCCGGTGGTGGTCAGGGCCCGGTGGTGGTCAGGGCCCGGCGTGACATGGCTAAAGATGAGGGAGGACGGAACCGTTAGCATCTCAGAGCTGCTAATGCTAATGCTAACAGTGACAGATGTAAACATACAATATGTTTCTTACACCAAAATATGCAGTGTTTATACTAGCTTCTTTATTATGCTAAAGCAAGATTTTATACTAGCTTCTTTATTATGCTAAAGCTAGATTTTATACTAGCTTCTTTATTATGCTAAAGCTAGATATTATACTAGCTTCTTTATTATGCAAAAGCTAGAGATTTTAGACTTGCTTCTCTTATGTTTTACTTAAGAGAAACAAACCAGTTCAGGGGTCTCCAACCTGTGGCTCAGGGTGCTTTCACACCTGCTCAAACGAACCGTACTTGCAGGTGATCCAGACTCCAGTCCGTTTTAAATGGACTAAATGGTGCAGGTGTGAAAGCACCCTCAGTGAAGGATTTGGAAATTACATAAATAAGCGAAAGATTCCAAAATATACCAACCTTTGTAATTGAAAGTGTAATACTTTAGGAACAATGGCTGTTGATAGGAACAAAATCTAAGCTATTTCTCACTGTTTAATTTATTTATGTCTAAGTTGTTAAGACGGAGACTTTAGTCCTGAGAAAGTCTCTGTGGAGGTTGGAGACCTCTGCACCAGATGTACCTGTGCTCTGCCTTTGATTACCATCCACACGTTTGTACAACTCAACTAAACACACGTCCCTGTGGTCTTTGAATTTGTAAGAAAAATACTAAACCCGTTTTAAAAGCAGCAACAGCAGAGTTTTAATTATTTATTCACCACTTACTAGAAAAAGAGTTGTTGGACTATACTTTAAACTGGTCCAGGTTCAGCCCAGAATGTTTGTTTTAACTCAACTGCAAAAAAATGATTTTAAAAAAGTAAAAAATTACTATTATTATTCAGAAGTGTGAAACATGTTAAAGGTTAAAAATATACTCTGTGCAGGATATAATTATGTACAATAAAAGAGTGGCAATAAAATAATCTTATTATTAAGGTATTATTTATTCAATGCTAAATAACAACATTCTTGCATGTTTTTGAATTATGTTTATGGGGTGGGAGTCGACAAGTTTTTACTTCCTTCCCACTCCATTTCGAGCTGACAAATTGTAAATAGAGGTTCATTTGTGTATTGATATTGCGATGTATAACACATGGTGTAACTAGGGAAACTATTGTTGCTTGATTGTATAGTTTGTTTATATATTTCTATGTATAAGTATAAACTGTAAGCACAGCAGGCAACATGTATGTATAAAGAATCATCTAAGGAATGTAAATATTGTAAATACTTATGATTGTAAAATTTCTGCTCGAATGAATAAAAAAATCAATCAATCAATCAATCAATCTTGTTGTAAAAACCAACAGAAATGTCTCCCTTGGAATGAGAAAATAAAACAGTTATTAACAAAAGAGTAATGGCGTTTTTTTTTTACTTTTTAACCATGTTTTAATAAAGGCTTTTAACCTTTTTCTCTACCCATTGAGCGCCTGTGTTTTTATGATTTTGATCCCCAATCTGAAGAGCACCTGGGAGAAACCTCTTAATTACAAAATAGACAGAAATCCAGAAACCTTGCTTTTTGAATAAAAGACTAATTGACTATAATTAGAGAATCTTGTTTTAAGTCAGAATGTGTCAGATTAAGATAGAAACCCCTTAATTCAAGCATTTATTACCTCATATATTATAATTCTTGCTGTGTATAAAAGGGATGCATCATCATTTTAACTTTGACAGTAATCACTTTGGCTAAAACATCGATATTAGCGTAAAATCCATTCGTTCAGGTTCAGGCGCATTGCTGAAGTCAGGGCTCATTGGGCAACAGCGCCATCTTTTGGTGAGTTTTGCAAGTGCATCAAATTGAGACATCAGTTAGAAATTAGTATGATATAATTGTGTACATATTCACAGCACAAACAAGTGAGAATAATAACTTTGCCTTCTGTGTTTGTAGAGGTTGTTGGTTCCATACCACGGTCCTCGGTCCTTGTTGTTGTCCGGGGCTGGCTCGCTCCTGCTCCATGTTCTCTGATTTTTTTGGAGTTCTCGGTGCGGCTCTGATCCTGGAGAAGACAAATGAAGTGATGGACCACAGTGAGACCCGAGCTCACACACGGAGAGGAGAGAGGCTGGGAAAAACATTCCTCACCCGAGCGGAAAGAGAGAGGCTCCACCGGAGAAAGGAGAGTCAGGGGCGTGGATCGAGGAAAAATGTGCCCAGGAAACAAGTGTCAATCCCAGGACATGAATCTCTGACAGCGGCGGTCAGGTTCCAATCCCAGACCAAGGAGAGATTATTCATGGCACCGTTAATACACAAGGCAAGTCAAAGTTAGATAAAATAATACAAATAAAAAACTGATAGAAACAATCATAAATAATCACAGTTCATTAAAAAGAGTGAGTTTAACTGTTTTTAACCTGGATTTGTCAGAGAAGAAGTCTGTCTCATATTTTCAGAAAGACTGCAGTGTTCCAGGTTTTAGCATAAATCTGAGACGTTGTCTCCTGATCGTCCTGGTCCTCCTGGTCCTCACTGATCCTCCTGCTCCTCCTGCTCCTCCTGGTCCTCACTGATCTTCCTGGTCCTCACTGATCCTCCTGGTCCTCACTGATCCTCCTGCTACTCCTGGTCCTCACTGATCTGCCTGGTCCTCACTGATCCTCCTGCTCCTCCTGGTCCTCACTGATCCTCCCGCTCCTCCTGGCCCTCACTGATCCTCCTGCTCCTCCTGGTCCTCACTGATCCTCCTGCTCCTCCTGCTCCTCCTGGTCCTCACTGATCTGCCTGGTCCTCACTGATCCTCCTGCTCCTCCTGCTCCTCCTGGTCCTCACTGATCCTCCTGCTCCTCCTGGTCCTCACTGATCCTCCTGCCCCTCCTGATCCTCACTGCTCCTCCTGGTCCTCAATGATCCTCACTGCTCCTCCTGCTCCTCAATGATCCTCACTGCTCCTCCTGCTCCTCCTGGTCCTCACAGATCCTCCTGGTCCTCAATGATCCTCACTGCTCCTCCTGCTCCTCAATGATCCTCACTGCTCCTCCTGCTCCTCCTGGTCCTCACAGATCCTCCTGGTCCTCAATGATCCTCACTGCTCCTCCTGGTCCTCACTGATCCTCCTGCAGGTGCTGAGTCCACAGGAGCACAGCTTTGATCTTCCAGCGCTGTCTTGCCCAAGGACACAACAAAAGGAGACATCAGTGGGAGTCGGTGGAGAAGGTCTTGTGGTGGGCTCGAACCCACAACCTTCAGGCTCAAAGGCCAATGCTCTACCAAAACATGAACAATAGATACATGTTTATACATTTATTTTAGAACCGGCACTTCTTTTTAACTGTAATTTAAAGGTGTATAGGAGGATTTTCCACTTCCAGGTGGATCATCAAGACTATTGGTCCTCCCAACTATCAATCATTCTGGTGACACATGCTCGTCCAATCAGACCAGAGAGTTTTGTTCAAAAAGTGGAGAGGGCGGTTGTTCCCTAAAATTTGGATAACCCTCCCATAAACCTTTTAATATGTAAGTTATATGATTGTATTTGTGATAAATAAAAGTGCACATTTACATTTAGTGTTATTAACGACAGAAGAATGAAACTACTTCTGTATCGCACTGGTTTACTGCAGGTTCGAACAACAGACACCATAAAGAGAAAGACTAAACCAGAGTTTCCATGAAGGAGATTCAAACATATTATCTTCAGAACCTCAGACACTTATCCTGGAGTTGGTTCTGTGGTTTCTCAAGGGGAGGTTTTCCTTCAGGGTGACAGCCTGAGAAAGGAGCAGTAATCTTATCTTCAGCCAAATACAGAGAACAGACCGAGCAGGCTAACACACACAGCTAACGGCTAAAAGCTAACAGCAAACGGCTAACGGCTAACACGTGCTAGAGGTGGAGGCACGTGCTTACAACCAGCTCTGTAACCTTGAATTCGGTCCATGCTGGACTATTAGCTTAGAGTGGCACAAGTTTGATTCTTTGTTTTGATACTTTTTTTGGTTACGCCCTAAATCACATCAGTAATTATCTCTGAGAAAATTACAAAGCTATTGATTCCCTGACACAGATCAGAAAATCAAACAAAGGAAATGTAATGATTTAATTAAAGCCGCAAGCGGCATCTAACGGCCCTCGCCGCACCGCGCAAAGGAGGTGGCGCTGACGCGCCATTTTTTTGCCCGCCTGATGGGAGCGACACTGTGGATTTTGGACCTATGATTAGTGATTGTGTGTGTCTATTGAAAAGGTAAACTTGATTCTCCCCATGTAATACTTGACTCCGTCTGTAGGGGGCGCTATATCTGCAATTTCGTCTTTAACACTTTCAGTTTACCCAAACCCGAGAGTTGAACAATCAATTCAAATTTTGTGCAAATCGGACTTTGTATGTGCAAATGGTGGCATTTAATGTTGTACAACAGCGCCCCCTACATCTAAAATGTTTTAGTGTTATACCAAAGAACACCAAAATAATAGACTTTATGCCTGAAAAAAACTTGTGGCAAAGTTTGGTGAGTTTTTGTGTTTGTTCAGTGGGTCAAATATGAGATCAAACAACATAAAACCTAAATACCTGTATCCCCATGTAAACCTTTACTCAGCCTGTAGGGGGCGCTAATGGGCCAATGTCATTGTTCACACAGTCATGTGACCTAGGCCCAGGAGTTGAACAACAAAGTCAAGTTTAGTGCTGAGTTTGTAAATGTGCTCCTGTTTACACATACAATCTGTGAGTGTGCCCATACTGTCTCCAGTCTCCATTGGATAACATGGGAACTTCACACCTCTCTATGAAAATGACCACACTTTGGGGGTCTGTCACGCTCAGACCGTTTGACTAATTAAAACTCTATATGCAACTATTGATGGTCCATGTGTGGACACCATGTGGAGCGATTTTCAGACAAATTAGGGAAACGGCCGTGGCTGGTTTGATGTTTGAACGAGGTGTACTTTTCAGAGATTTAACGATTATCTCATAGACACAGACAGGGGAGTGTTGGTCGTCGCCACGGCAACAGGGTAAAAAATAATCATATGTTGTCATTGACTTTTTGAATCCAGATGACAAAACAGAATTATGTGCAAAATTTCAAACATTTTGACAAAACTACATTTTAAAAAGCCCATGTAAAACTTTAACATAGTCTGTAGGGGGCGCTAATGAGCCAATTTCAATATTTCCACTTTCAGATGACCTAGACCCTGGAGCTGAACAATGGATTCAAATTTGGTGCAAATCCGGCTTTGTTTGTGCAAATGGGAGCAAATTTACTTTTGTCAAAAATTGGGAAAAAAATGTCACATTTTGCCGCTCCGCTGCTCGGACAACGTTTAATTGAAACAAATTCTATATTCAATAATAGATGGGACATGGGTTTAGACCATGTGGAGCGATTTTGAGACAAATCGGTGAAACGGCCGAGGAGGAGATAATTTCCAGCCGACATGTGTGAAAAAGATCAATTTTCATTTTTCCATTTTCCAATTAAATTAATGAGCTTCCTGTTTGTCAGGGGGCGGAGCCATAATAACTTTTTTTTCATGTCTTGACCTGAGGAACATGTGTACCGAATTTTGTGGCTCTACGACAAACTTGACCTTCGACCCCCTCCCATAGGCGCAATGTAAACTGACTTTTGTAGGGGGCGCTATTCTGACATTTTTTTAGTCCCTTAAAAATAAACACCAAAAAAATTAATTTTTCACCGGTTCTGAATTTTGGGCAAAATTTCACAACTTTTCATCAATGTTCAGGGGGTCAAATTAAGGTTCAAAGCGCAGAAGAAAAAAGAAATAATAATAATAATAAATAAATAAGGAATTTTTTTTTTTGAAATCTTTGAGCAAAAACAATATAGGTTTCCATAGTAACCTATAATACAAACGATATGTAGTTTTAAAGCGAACGACCAGACGAACGCAACTATTGGGTTCTCGGTGATTGACGAGCGCTGACGCGCTCGTCAATCACCTCGCCATCATGAGGTCACCCACCCCCCCCATAGGACCCCATTCATTACACTGTATACTACAGCAGGAGCAAAGCCATTCAGTGCCTCCGGCACTGTTTTGTCAGTGTCTGGGCACGCGCCGTCGGGCTTGGGGGACGAATGTCCGGGCTTCGCCCGGACATTCGTCCGTAAGACAGTTGAAGGAACCCCCCTTTAATAGGACTTCAATCATTTCACTGTGTACTACAGCAGGAACAAAGCCATTCCGTGCCTCCGGCACGGATTTATCAGTGTCTGGGCACGTGCCGTCGCGTGCAGGTCACAATCTCCGGGCTGCGCCCGGAGATTGTGACTTATGACAGTTCAACGAGTAATGCCTGGGCTAAAGCAATAGGCCCTTACCCCGGTTGGGGCTCGGGCCTAATAAAAGACTAGAATAAAAACACATAGAGCCATTGGTTCAGAAACCAATGTCCATAAATGTTGATAAAGTTCATAAATGTAGTTGAATGTCTTGGAGCTTCGCCACAGTCCTCAGATCCTCCTGTAATCAACACACTCAAAACTTTACTTTGGAATTAATGGAAATAAACTTCAAACTTGACAGTTGGTTCTTCAGAACACGTCATAACTTACAGGGGAATTAAGTATATTTTAAAAACCAACATATGCCATTCAAATACAGTAGTCTTACGGTCAATCACATTGAACACAGAGACCACGCCCCCTACTGGCCCTGTGCCTCCATCACACACAGGAGTTCTAGATTGTGTGACTCTGTTGAAAACATTCTGCATAGATGTTCTCTTATAACTTCTGATGGTATTTATACATGATATGATACAATTGACTTGCATTAGCATTAATTCCCAGTTAGTTCCCCTACATTCCCATGGAATGTTTACAATAAGGAATATTTCCAAAATGCCATGACTTAACTTCCCGTGGAAAGTCCAGTGAAATAAAGGTGAGTTTCTGATCTCGAGGTGAGATTATCAAATGAATTAACAGATAAACACAATGACTTCTTTATTTCATTTAAAAAAACATCTGAATAAGTTTAGAATATGAAAAATATGTATGAAACAGTGTTGTTGAATATGGCACAATTCATAATGCTGGAAAATCGGCTAAAATGTGTAAAAAAAAAAGATTGGCTGGATTTATCAGCAGGGAGAGACCAGAAGGAGACCAGAGGCCAGAAAGAGAGACCAGAGGAAGACCAGGGAGTATTAAGACAGAAATACACACAATAAACAAAACAGACCATATTTTTGTTTTTAAATAAACAGTTTATATAGAAACTTTATTCATCCTGAAGGAAACACCAATCTGTCCTTTTCAGAGTTGATGACAAGAATATTTCATTTTAGCAAAGTTACACGTGTTCAACCAGAAGTATGTACACAAGAGAGAGACCAGAGGGAGATACCAGAACAGAGAGAGATACCAGAGAGAAAGAGAGACCAGAGAGAGAGAGAGAGAAAGAGAGACCAGACAGAGACCAGAGAGACCAGAGGCAGAGACCAGAGGCAGAGACCAGAGAGACTAGAGGGGTAGACGACAGGGATAGCAACCAGTGAGAAAGACCAGAGAGAGACCAGAGAGACAAGAGAGACCAGAGGCAGAGACCAGAGACTAGAGGGGTAGACCACAGGGAGAGCAACCAGTGAGAAAGACCAGAGAGCGAGAGAGAGAGACACCAGAGAGTCTTATGGAAGCCTCCTCTCCTCAGAGCTTCTTCCTCATCTTTCCCTTCTTTCCTCCTCGTCCGAACCCAGACTTCTTCATGTCTCTTGCGAAGGGTTTGTTTTTGTTCCGCAGCTGCTTCAATCCTCCGCTCTGCAGGAACTTCTGCTTCTGCTGCTTCTTCCGCTGCTTCAGGATCTGTTGACTTGATTTCAGCTCAGAGCGGATCTGGCGGCCCCCGGTGGTCTCCTGCGGCCCGGGGCTTTTACCGGGACAGTGACGACCGCGACCACGACCACGACCTTAAAGGAGATAATCAGTGAATTACAAAGACTCGTTTCGTTAACAGGTGGGAGGGGTTAACTCCTTTTACAGGTTGAAACGATTGGATCCGAGTTTGTAATGCGCCTGAGTGAGTGAGGAATTCAGCATGTAGCCTAGCTTTAGCCATCTCCTTTGCCGCTAACGGAGACCGTGGAGAGTAGAACCACAACATCTTTGCTTCAATGACATTTACAAAACATTCCTCTTGCTCCGGCTTCAGTTTCTTGATATTTGGATTGAACCAGAACAGATTATTTTAGATACATTTAGATAATGCAGCTAAGGTTTACGGAGAAAACAAAAACAAAGATTTAGCCCTCAGTTGAGGGATTTATGTGAAATGTGTAATGGATGACAGTTCATAATGTCCATTTTGTATCTCTTTTCTTGCTTGTTGTTTACATATCTCAAAAAATAGACATAATAAAAATAATTTAACCATGAGTTCTGACTAACTTAAAATCAACTGGATGTTTCAGTATAGAAATGAACAGATATAGAGTGTAACATTAGTTTCTGAATGTATGATCTCATTTTTTTTTTTGAACTAACACATATTGACAGTAAATACACAATACACACACATATACATAAATATCACACATTTGCCCTCACCTCCAGCTCGCATCACTCCCACACTTTCATTGTCGCCGCCCAAATCGTCCACTTTGTATTTCTTCTTCCATTCTTCATAACTGAAGCATTGTGATTAAGGTTTTTCAAGTCCAGACAAAAACAGAGTAATGCTACGACAATGCTAATATAGCTTTACCGGCCTAACCAACGCTAGAGAGACACCAGTGTAGCCACAGCTGCCCTGGGACAGACTCTCCATCCCCTCGCTACATTGGGCAAAGTGGAAGAAGTGTCTAAAGACAAAAAGGAGACGTTGGAGGTTTAGACGGTCACCAAGTATGACAGCGGTCTCCCATCCAAACACCACCAGGTCCTAACATGCTTAGCTTCTAATATCTGGCCCTGAAGCTGCGAGAGAGAGACCAGAAAGAGAGGGACCAGAGAGAGAGAGACTAGAGAGAGAGAGACCAGAAAGAGAGGGACCAGAGAAAGAGAGACCAGAGAGTGTTACCCGAGAGAGAGACCAGAAAGAGACCAAAGAGTGGGACCAAAGAGTGGGACCAGAGAGAGACCAAAGAGTGGGACCAGAGAGACCAGAGAGAGAGACCAGAGAGAGACCAAAGAGTGAGACCAGAGAGAGAGACCAGAGAGAGACCCGAGAGAGACCAGAAAGAGACCAAAGAGTGGGACCAAAGAGTGGGACCAGAGAGAGAGACCAGAGAGATATCGAAGCCTCCTCTTCTTAGAGATGTACAGCTGTTGCACGGGATCACCAAGAATGACAGTGGTCTCCCATCCAAATCCCACCAGCTCCTGACATGCTTAGTCCCATAACGATATAACTGTTCAGGTGTTAAACATTGGTTTGAAGGATACAAGTTCTTCTTGCTCTTGCTGACCACGTGTCCGCTCTCCGTCTTGATCTTCCTCTTGTCTTCTTTCCCAGTGTCTCGGACAAAACGCTTCTTCTTTCGGTCCCTGGAAGAAAACGGGAAAAGGTGATTAACACACGGTCACCATAGTTACAGCCACCGGAAAATCTATATGTACCTCAATTCGAAACTACTTTAAAATCAATTAGTGTGTGTGTGTGTGTGTAGTGTGTAGTGTTTATGTGTGTGTGTGTGTGTGTGTGTCTCAGACTCATACATTTCTGTATGAGAAGGGGTTAGGCTAAAGCTAGCATCCAGCAGTAGTGTTGAGAGGTGGGAATCTGTGTGTTCTGCACGTTTGATACCAATCCCAGTACATTTAAATAAGATAAAAGTATTGCGGTTCACCATTTCATCATGCTCTTGTGCTGGTTCAGCTGGTCTCCCTCGTCCCCCATCAGGTCCAGCAGAGCAGAGGAGGCCTGCTGTTCGAACGACGTGCCCTCTCCTCCCAGACTCAACCTGAGACAGACAAACACACATGAAACTACAGCCATTCTTTAGTCCCTCTTGGTCCTGGTTCTACCCAGGCCCAGCTGTACTCTGATTGGCCAGAGAGCTGCTGGAAGCCATGGTTACCAAGGAATGTTAGTAGAAGTGAACAGAAGACTAGAGCAGACTAGACTATCGCTGGTGTAAATTGGGCTTGATATGACTGTTTTCTTTACCCTCTCTCGGAGTTGAAGTCCTTGGGTCTGTATGGAATATAGTAGTCCTCGTCTTTGCCTGAGGGTCTTGATTTCTTGTTTCTGTGGTTTCCATCAAACTCATGCTGATGCGATCTCTTTCCACCAACAACGTTTGAAAACACCCCCTGGTGGACAAATTCAGCACATGTAGTGTTTTATTTTACACTTGATGCTAAATGTCACAGGTCAAGGCTGTCAATAAACAGATGTGGAAAAGAAGGATCAAAACAGAGCGATATGAAATAAAGTAGTGAAGTTCCAACAGTTTGTTCTTAGTTCTATGCCTCTGTCTGGACAAGAACAGGCAGAGAAACCCCAGTTACCTAATGTAACTATGGTTCTATGAACATGTAGCTGTGTTCAGATCATAGACTGGACAGAGTCACGCCTATCTCCGCCGTTCTAACTAATGGGCCAAAAATGTGCTCTACTGGAGCTATCCAAAATGGCCGCGAGTGGTCCCGCCCACAAGAAAATTGTGAAAAAACGCAGCTGCGCATGCGTCAGCCGGCGCAGCTCCATTCATTTGAACGAGAGACTTCTAAAATTCACAGCGAGTAAACTAGAGTGGACCAAAAAAATTCACCCCCCACAGCATTGACACACATGTGGAACGGAGCTTTGGGCCAAGAGTCAACTTTTGGACCATCCTGTAAAGACGTTTTTGAGAGGTCTGCCAATGCTATATGTTAGCATTGGCTAATTCTTCTTCTGGGTCCACCCCCATCGGCCCGCGGTGGTATTGCAAGCATGTCAGCGCACATCATTTTGGCCACTTTTGAGCTGGGACCCGCCCCCACTGGTTCAGATAGACAAAACTTTGGTCTCGTCTGTCGACTCATCTAACAACGTTTTGAAACTAAACTTTCCATTCAGAAGCTTAACATCCATTTCATCATGGAGGTCCTCTGAAAACTCACCAACACACAGAGTATAGCACCTTTACTAGCACCAGCGCTATTTCTTTGTACCATTTCTAAGAGTGGGATATGACAGTGGCTCTTATTGTTGTTATTGTAGTTTAAACAATTTCTAAAACGTTTAATTGTTTAAAAGTATTTTCTGTAATTCAGTACTCGCATCAGTCGTGTATCGGTGCATCCGTACACATGACCAGAGGTGAGGAAGGGGACGTAGAAGTAGATTTGGACTGGTGGAAAATTAGTTTACAAAAAGGACTACTCACATTTCATAAAAAATAATGACATAGAAATAAACTAGTTCTGAAGACAAAGAATACACATGAGATTTTAGCACCTGGAGAGGACAAGGCACTATAGCCTGGAAGAATCAAGAACCACAAAACACTTTAAATGTTGCGGACCTCAAAGTTGTCATCCTCCTCCATGTCTTCAGCCTTCACGGTTCCACCCTCAGCGCTGGTCTTCATACCGAGCTGAGACAGGGCTTCAGCTTCAACAGTCTCTTTGTGCAGACTGTACTTGTTCACCAGACCGTCGTCTCTGCTGCGCTTGGCTCGCATCACTTCACTCGCCGAGGTCTTACTGTGGGAGTTTATCTCAAATATTGTCTACAGAGACACAGAGAGAGAGGGAGAGCAGGAGAGACAAGAGAAAGAGAGGGAGAGAGACAGAGAGAGAGGGAGAGCAGGAGAGAAGAGAGAGAGGGAGAGAGAGACATAAGAGAGAGAGACAGAGGGAGGGAGAGAGAGACAGAGAGACACACACAAAGAGAGAAAGAGACAGACCAGAGAGAGACAGAGAGAGGGAGAGAGGGACCAGAGACACACCGACATAGAGGGAGAGAGAGGAGAAAGAGAAAGACAAAGAGAAAGACAGAAATAGAGAGAAAAGAGAGGGAGACACAGACACACAGACAGAGACCCGAGAGAGCCACAGAGGGAGGGAAAGAGGGGGGAGACAGAGAGAAAGAGCAAACATAGAGAGGGAGAGAGAACATAGAGAGAGCAAGACCAGAGAGAGGGAGACCAGTTAAAGGAGGAGACCAGAGAGAAAGAGCAAGCATAGAGAGGGAGAGAGAACATAGAGAGAGCAAGACCAGAGAGAGGGAGACCAGTTAAAGGAGGAGACCAGAGAGAAATAAACACAGAGACACACAGAGAGAGAGAGATCAGATAGAGGAGAGAGAGACAGAGAGAGAGAGCGACAGACACCCGGACAGAGATCAGATAGAGGAGAGACAGACAGAGAGAGAGAGAGCAACAGAGACAAACACATTAATTATTGAGCTTTCTTAAAAACCAACTGTGGGATGACGTCTGCAGGAACTCACTGCTTTGGATTTGTAGCCCTTAATGGCGTCCACAATATGAAGACGATCCAGCTCCATCTTCTCCAGACCAGAACCTAAGACCGAGTCACAGCTCATCAAACAAAAGAACCAACTGGACTCCTCCTACGCAGCTTATAACTTTGTGAATCAGTCCGTACCCAGTGTTTCCTATTGGACCAGAGGACGCTGTGCAGTGATTCTACAACAGTTTGTCAGTCCCATAGACGGTTTATAGACGGACAATGCTAACCCGCTAGAAAGGCTTAAAAAAATCAGTAGTTTATATCCTGATAACATCTTTGTAAATACAGATATGGGCCATTTATGAATCGACCAATTAGATGCCTTCATTCGGGGAGGGGGGGATTCTTCTTAGCAACCATCATAGCAACACATAAAGCTAACAAATGCCCCTCCATCCATCCATCCATTTTCTTCCACTTAATCCATTTCTGGGTGGGGTGTGGCAGTCAGCTAACAGTGGCTCAGTTGGTAGAACCTTTGAGCCTGAAGGTTGTGGGTTCAAGCCCACCACAAGACCTTCTCCACGACTCCCACTGATGTCTGCTGTCGTTGTGTCCTTGGGCAAGACACTTAACCTCTGGGAACAGCAGGTGCCACAGTGGGGCGGCTGCGGCGGTAAAGTGCTAAACTGGTGTGTGTGTGAATAGTTGGTGGTGGTGGGAGGGGCCGATGACAAAGACTGGTTGCCTCGTTTCTGTCAGTGTGCCCCAGGGCAGCTGTGGCTATAGTATTAGTTTATCACCACTGTGTTTGGAGTGAATGAATAATAATGCCAAGCGGCTTTGAGAGTCCAAAAAGCACTATTTAAAAACCAATGCATTATTATTCATGAGATAGGCCTTTTCTTTGACAAACAGTTCTGCTTCAACTGAGGAATTTTATATTTTTATATTTCCGTTTAATGTACAGTGATTTATGATAAATGCTTTCTTGTTTTGTTCAGCACTTTGAGTTGCCTTGTGTATGAATTGTGCTTTAAAAAAATATGCTTGCCTTGCCTTCTTTATGATTAACCCTGCACTAACTGACTTTATTTTCGTATTAATTACGAAAATGCTATCCATGTCCATGTAGTGCATTGGGATATACGTCCTTTTGAAGAAAAAGTAGAGCAGATTTGTGCTGGCCTGACATTATATTTTCGATTGAGTTTTGATGAAACAAGGAAGAGAATGTGTTTCAGGTCGCAGATTGTGACCAATCACAGCGGACCACTAGCCCCCACTTTCGTGAGAAATCTCCAGGTCCGTTAGCACAGACAGCTGAGTTAGCACAACAAGCGGCGGAGCTAACCTGAAACTTTCTCGTCTTCGTCACCGGTTACTGCTTACACAGCGAAACAGCCATCCAAATGAAAGTCTCGTTCCTCCGCGCTTCCCGGTTCTATCGTTCTATGGTCACGCCATCCACGTGAAAATCCATGTCCATGTATTATCCATATTGGGAGAGGCTAGCTCCGTCTCAACACTGTGTGTGTGTGGGGGGCGATAGCTTCGTGGGTGCGGGGAGGGGAGCAGAAAGAGAGAGGCCAGCGGGTCTGCGGCTTCAAAATCCCAAAGTCAGTTAGTGCAGCTTTAAATACCCTTATAAGGAAACTGGCTCGCGCTATCTTATCTACCTATCGGCCTCCTTCCTTCCGCATTAAAGCTGCACTAACTGACTTTGGGATTTTGAAGCCGTGGACCCGCTGGCCTCTCTCTTTCTGCTCCCCTCCCCGCACCCACGAAGCTATCGCCCCCCACACACACTCACTGTTGGGACGGAGCTAGTGTCTCCCAATATGGATAATACATGGATATGGATTTGCACATGGATGGCGTGACCATAAAACAATAGAACCGGGAAGCGCGGAGGAACGGGACTTTCTTTTGGATGGATGTTTCGCTGTGTAAGCAGTAACCGGTGACGAAGACGAGGAAGCTTCAGGTTAGCTCCGTCGCTTGTTGTGCTAACGGACCTGTAGATTTCTCACGAAAGTGGGGGCCAGTGGTCCGTTGTGATTGGTCACAATCTGCGACCCGAAACACATTCTCTTCCTTGTTTCATCAAAACTCGATCTAAAATATAATGTCACGCCAGCACAAATCTGCGCTAATTATTCTTCAAAAGGACGTATATCCCAATGCACTACATGGACATGGATAGCATTTTCGTAATGAATACGAAAATAAAGTCAGTTAGTGCAGCTTTAAGGCTAACACACAACCCACTTCCTTCTCCTCTGTCTTTGCGACTGACTGACCGAGTAAGGGGTGAACCGCCACGTGAGATACGTCGAAGCCTTTGACCCGTCGGACCGACTCGGGGGCGGGGCTGGGCCGGGACTTCAGGTACTGCTTGTAGGCGTTCTCCGAGATCCGGTGGAGGTTCTGTAGCTCCAGGGAATTCTCGTGGGACGTGATCAAGTGGGCTCCCTCGTCGTCCAGGATGGTCTGAGGCACACGGCCGAACAAACCGTCCACGTCTGTACGGAGCAGAGGGGGTTATTGGAATGTGCACAGACTTACGGTCTTAAAGCCGGAGTCAAACTACACAGAAAATGTCACTCGCTCTGTATGCATTTGTTTTTAGTCTTTGTCAGAGAAAAAGAGAGCACCAGCCCTCATTCAGCCAATCAGCTCTTAGCAAGTAAAAATCAGGTCTTAGTTGACTTTTGAAAACAAATCAGACAACCTCGGTGCCGTCTATCGCACATTTATACTTTTTTTTTTTTTTGGCTTTGGGCTGAACACTGATTGGAAAACTATACTTGTTCAGCCATTTTTATATCGTCTGAAAAAACCTGATCTGAAGGTGAGAGCGAGGCCAACAATACATGTGGTTAACCCATGAATGAAAAGAGAGAAACCAAAGAGAACAGAGAAAGAGAAAGAGAGAAACCAAAGACAGAGAAACCAGAGAGAGAGAGAGCAACCAGAGAAAGAGAGAGGGAGAAACCAGAGAAAGAGAGAAACCAGAGAAAGAGAACAGAGAGAAACCAGAGAAAGAGAGAGAAGCGCTTTACAACGTTCAGAGTTCAGATATTGTTCCCATCCCTCCACACAGAATGACTGAAGCGAGACGCCGAACACACTGGTCCATCAAAGCCTCCGACCAAACACCCTTCAAAGTATAAATGGGAATCGAACCCGTACCCTCCGTGTTTCCCAGGGTGGCCAGCTGCACAGGTCTGCCCAGGAACAGGTGCAGGTCGTACACGTAGGCCATCTCATCAGGACAGATGATGCTGAACGCCGTGCCACTGCGGCCGGCTCGCCCAACACGACCTAAGGAACACACCAAGACACGCCTTTAACACCAGAGCAGTCAATTTGACGGCTTTCAGTTTTGGAAGTCTTCATGACTCTGTGTGTGGAGTTTATTTATACATCATTAATTTTTGGTCTCTCCCACTCGCTGGTCTCTCCCACTCGCTGGTCTCTCCCACTCGCTGGTCTCTCCCTCTCTCTGGTCTACCAGGATGTATCTAGTTACCATAGCAACACACCGTTTACTGTCTGAAGTTTGCATTACCCTTTGTTTGCAGTATTTCAGCTAATCGCCAGTTTTTGAGCTGTACTGACCGACTCTGTGCAGGAAGAGCTTGGGTTTGGAGGGGAAGTTGTAGTTCACCACATTGTCCAGCAGGGGGATGTCTATACCACGTGCAGCCACATCAGTGACCAGCAGCACCATGGCTTTCCGATGCACAAACTTCCCAATGTTGATCTTTCTGGCTGTCTGGTCCAGGGCACTGTAGATGAACGCACACTCGATCCCCTCAGAGGAAAGAAGCTGGAAATGACAAGTTTAATCTACGTTTTGTTTTATAAAAATAAGTGAAATCCTAAAAGTAGCAGTTAGACGTTTTATGACTGTAAAACACTTTTTATCATCACCTGAAGTCACAACTGCAGAAGAGAGACAAGAGAGAGACCAGAGGCCAGAGAGACCAGAGTCCAGAGAGACCAGAGTCCAGAGAGACAAGAGAGAGACCAGAGAGAGAGACAAGAGAGAGAGACAAGAGAGAGACCAGAGAGAGACCAGAGAGACCAGAGAGAGAGACAAGAGAGAGACCAGAGAGAGACAAGAGAGAGACAAGAGAGAGACCAGAGAGAGACCAGAGAGAGACCAGAGGCTAAAGTTTTCCTGTGGCCTTTAAATAAAACGGTAATTGTCGTGTTAAACTAGAGATTCTGTGATACTGTTCGACAACATGAGAAACACACTGTATCAAAATTACACACACAAAACTCAACGAAACAACAAAAGACCACAGTTATCTTCATGATTGTGACCGTAGTCCGTGTCTTAAGAATCACCTCTCTCAGGTACTCGATGTGGTGTTTTGTGGCGGCGAAGACCACGGTCTGCTCCTGAGGCTTGAACACGTTTCTCAGGAGGTGAAGAAGAAGAGCAGGTTTGTCGTCCACGCGACAATGGAAGAAAGACAGCTGGAAACGCAACAGAACAGCTTCAGAATTAAAATCACACGGACGAGTTGAGGCTTAGTCATTTCTTGCGTCTCACTTTGATTTGGTCACTGAGCTTTGAGTCCACGTCCAGACGGATCAGAACCGGTTCAGTCAGGCCTGTGCACCAGAGGCAACAACATTAGTGAATTATAACAATGTAAAAATAATAATAATAATAATAATGCATTGGTTTTTACTGTTTTTTCATTGGTTGTTCTTTCACCTCATACACAGTGGTGATAAACTACTGTAGCAATAGCTGCCCTGAGGCACATTGGCAGAACTAAGGCAACAAGAATGTGCCATTGGCCCCTCCCACCACCAACCATTTAGACACCAGACTCCTCTCCCACTCCTCTCCCACTCCTCTCCCACTCCTCTCCCACTCCTCTCCCACTCCTCTCCCACTCCTCTCCCACTCCTCTCCCACTCCTCTCCCACTCCTCTCTCTCTCTCCCTCTCTCTCTCCCATCATACTCATTCAAGGAAATATGGATAAAGTGTCTTGCCTCAGGACAGAACCAGTTTGGCACTATACAGCCGCAGTTGCCCGACTGTGACACCTGTATTTCCCAGGGGTCTCCCATCACAGCACTAACCAGGCCCCTCCCTGCTTAGCCCACTTACCGGCTCTGGCAAACTCCACCAGCAGCTTGGGTAGCGTGGCGGAGAACAGTAAGGTCTGCCTGGTGTCCGGGAGCCTCTGAATGATCTCCTGGAGCTGCTCGGCGAACCCCATCTCGAACAGTCTGCGCAGACACCAGAGGGTTAGTTTATGGTTGTCATGGCAACAGGAAGTAGGATGCAGTGCTAGTCCGTACCTGTCCGCCTCGTCAAACACCACGTATTCCACACTGTGCAGCTTCAGGTTCATGTCTTTCACCACGTGCATCAGACGACCGGGCGTTCCCATGATTCTGACAAAAGAGAAAAATGTCTTTTAAACATTCACCAGAAATGATATTTTTGACCATTATAAATTACATTGAGTCTGTTTAATTTGACATTTCATGATTTAGAAAGTGGAATTGTATCTACAGTAGAAAATATATGAAATGACAATATGTGAAATAAGGGTGACGGGTAAATAAGGCAATCAGCGTGTAACTCCCTCTGCTGCCACCAGAGGGAGCAGTTCGAAACTACCAGCTTCAAAAAAGACAAGTAATTGTAAAGAATAAATGTCACTCCCTCTGGTCTCACTCCCTCTGGTCTCACTCCCTCTGGTCTCACTCCCTCTGGTCTCACTCCCTCTGGTCTCACTCCCTCTGGTCTCTCACTCCTCTGGTCTCACTCCCTCTGGTCTCACTCCCTCTGGTCTCACTCCCTCTGGTCTCACTCCCTCTGGTCTCACTCCCTCTGGTCTCACTCCCTCTGGTCTCACTCCCTCTGGTCTCACTCCCTCTGGTCTCACTCCCTCTGGTCTCACTCCCTCTGGTCTCACTCCCTCTGGTCTCACTCCCTCTGGTCTCACTCCCTCTGGTCTCACTCCCTCTGGTCTCACTCCCTCTGGTCTCACTCCCTCTGGTCTCACTCCCTCTGGTCTCACTCCCTCTGGTCTCACTCCCTCTGGTCTCACTCCCTCTGGTCTCACTCTCTCTGGTCTCACTCTCTCTGGTCTCACTCTCTCTGGTCAGTGTGTATTTCTTTGCACTCACATGTCAGGGTTTTCATGCAGGGCAGCAAACTGGTCGTCCATACTGAAAAACAGAACAGACACAGGTTAAAGCAACAATGTAAACTGAGACACGAGATCAAGAGGCTTTTACCTGTCTCCACCGAGGATCAAAGCTGTTTTGAGTCCTGTGAATTTTCCCAACTGCAACAATAACAAAGTGAACATTAGTCACTGCCACAGATGGACAATGCTAACACAGACTGTATACAGATGGACAATGCTAACACAGACTGTATACAGATGGACAATGCTAACACAGACTGTGCACGGAAAAGTAAACTTCTCTAGCTAAGTTCAAATAGGCTTCTTCCGCATTAAGGCTAGCACTAAAATGGCAGGTTGTGGAGTGTATCGGACCTCTTTGGTGAACTTCATGGTCTGTAGTGCGAGTTCTCTGGTGGGAGAGAGAACCAGGGCCCTCGCACCGGACTTGGCTTGAGGTGCCTTCAGTTTCTCGAACATGGGAATGAGGAAGGCTGCCGTTTTGCCGCTGCCGGTCCTGGCCATAGCGACTACATCTTTGCCATCCAGAATGACAGGGATCGTCTGATAAAGGGAGAAAGTGTTAGTGCACTCATGCCATCACTTTTTTTTCTCAAAATATAATGGTCTCCCTCTCTGGTCTCCCTCTCTGGTCTCCCTCTCTGGTCTCCCTCTCTGGTCTCCCTCTCTGGTCTCCCTCTCTGGTCTCCCTCTCTGGTCTCCCTCTCTGGTCTCCCTCTCTGGTCTCCCTCTCTGGTCTCCCTCTCTGGTCTCCCTCTCTGGTCTCCCTCTCTGGTCTCCCTCTCTGGTCTCCCTCTCTGGTCTCCCTCTCTGGTCTCCCTCCCTGGTCTCCCTCCCTGGTCTCCCTCCCTGGTCTCCCTCCCTGGTCTCCCTCCCTGGTCTCCCTCTCTGGTCTCCCTCCCTGGTCTCCCTCTCTGGTCTCCCTCTCTGGTCTCCCTCTCTGGTCTCCCTCTCTGGTCTCCCTCTCTGGTCTCCCTCTCTGGTCTCCCTCTCTGGTCTCCCTCTCTGGTCTCCCTCTCTGGTCTCCCTCTCTGGTCTCCCTCTCTGGTCTCCCTCTCTGGTCTCCCTCTCTGGTCTCCCTCTCTGGTCTGCCTCCATCTTGGGTTGTGATGTCACATGACAGTCTGTAGAAACGTACTTTTCTCTGGATGGGAGTGGGGACCTTGTAGCCCTTCTTCATGACACCTTTAAACACCGGATAACTCAGACCTGTTCAAAACAACAGAGGTTAATGGAAGATTTCTAACTCTCTGCTACACGTTTAACACGATGGAAAAAACATTTAGATTTAAAATACTGAAACTAGAATTGTCCGTTTAGGTTTGAGAACGAGGCTCAAAACAAAATTAGACAAACTCAAATCAGCCTGAAACTAGAACCTTTCTGAGGATAGAATAGAACATAAAACTGTTCGGTAACACTTTAGTTCAGCCCTGACTAACTGCTAACGAAATGAAAATGAGTGTATTCTATGGTTAATTAGCTGTTTATTAGTATTTAGTTAAGACATTATTACTCTACATGAACATCTAACTACCGACACATTCAATGTGGACCAGGGTCAGGACTACGGTCAGGACTAGGGTCAGAGTCAGGGTCAGGGTCATGCCTCTAGTTGTTAAAACTAAGTGTACTTGGGTCAGGACAAGGGTCAGGACAAGGGTCAGGACAAGGGGCAGGACAAGGGGCAGGACAAGGGGCAGGACAAGGGGCAGGACTAGGACTAAGGTTAGGGTCAGCACTAGGGTTAGGGTCAGGACTAGGGTAAGGAATAGGACTAGGGTTAGGGTCAGGACTAAGGTTAGGGTCAGGACTAGGGTAAGGAATAGGACTAGGGTTAGGGTCAGGACTAAGGTTAGGGTCAGGACTAGGGTAAGGAATAGGACTAGGGTTAGGGTCAGGACTAAGGTTAGGGTCAGGACTAGGGTAAGGAATAGGACTAGGGTTAGGGTCAGGACTAAGGTTAGGGTCAGGACTAGGGTAAGGAATAGGACTAGGGTTAGGGTCAGGACTAAGGTTAGGGTCAGGACTAGGGTAAGGAATAGGACTAGGGTTAGGGTCAGGACTAAGGTTAGGGTCAGGACTAGGGTAAGGAATAGGACTAGGGTTAGGGTCAGGACTAAGGTTAGGGTCAGGACTAGGGTAAGGAATAGGACTAGGGTTAGGGTCAGGACTAAGGTTAGGGTCAGGACTACGGTCAGGACTAGGACTACGGTCAGGAATAGGACTAGAGTCAGGGCCAGACTAGGGTCAGGACCAGGATCAGGACTAGGACTAGGGTTAGGGTCAGGACTACGGTCAGGACTAGGGTTTGGGTCTGGAATAGGCCTAGGGTACACATGTTAGCAGTTAATAAGCTGTTAAAACTTAGCGTTCTTTCTTGAAAGTGTATAATCTCTAAGGTCTGATATGAACAGGACTCAGAACAGCGGCCTCACCCATGGACTGAAATCCACCAGATTTCTTCTTCTTCTTGTTCTGAGCGCGGACCAGCTCCCTGGTGTCGGGCTCCACGTCAGAGAGACAGTCTGACGACGTTGGAAACCGTGGGAGCTTCTTTCCCGCCTGCAAAAAAAGAAAAAATTGTGAGCACCATTTTAAACCTGGTCTGGCACAGGCTATACATAATGGTACAATAAATAAAACAATAAATATAAAATGTTGGGATGTTTATGCTTCTTTCCACACACAATCAGCAAAAAAGGCCAGGCTCCTTAATCGAGGTGCACAGCGTCTAGACAACGACAGAAAACAATGTAATTCTAGCCCCCGACCAGTAGGGGGCAGCGAAACTTTAAAACATGACACACCTGACCCTCGCGACACCCAGATCAATTACATTTTAGTATCTGGTACCGTATCCTAGCAAAAAACCAGTATACAGGGACATTTCCGAGGTATTTCCTTCCAGCAGCACTCCAATCTCTGTCAGTGTAGCCCCTTTTCCACCAGCCCCACTTGGCCCAACTCAGCCCTGCTCTAGAAGAAGATATACTTTACTGATCTCACAATGGGGCGACAGTGGCTCTGTTGGCCTTTGAGCCTGAAGGTCGTGGGTTCGAGCCCACCACAAAACTTTCTCCACCAACTCCCGCTGCTGTCGTTGTGTCCTTGGGCAAGACACTTTACCCCACTTTACCTATAAGGAGCAAGACGTGATATGCGTTTCTGACACGACTACAATTCAGGGCATTTACAACGACCCAGTTGGACCAGTACCGGTAACTACCCAGTTTAGTACCTGCTTGGCCACAGTTCTTTCCAGACCGAACTAGTAAAGTCAATGGTGTAGGTTTGGTTCCAATCTTGGTGGGGACATTCACTACGACCTGAGTCTACACCCATTGACACGGGGTCCAGAGTTTCTCCCCCAGAATTTGTTGTGTGATCACACACTATATTTGCAATAGTATGTTGCCTTCTATACTAAACTCAGCTGTAGACTGAATGAGAAGCAGTTAAGGATTTTTTCTAATAGTTAACACAAAATCAATTGGATCAGAGCTTCTGAGTTTTGTGTTGCGTTCATTCTATACTGACTTAAACCTAATCCAAATCTACATAATAGCCCTCACCTGAGGCTCTAACAGTTCAGGAACTGCTCTCGATACTTGAAATAAATCATGCTCTGATCTTTCAATTTCCTATAATAAATAAAAACAGAGGAGAAAATATTGAATTAGAATCTACAGTGAGTAGCTCACTACATTGTTTGACATATGCGATCAATCTCTAAAAACAATTCATAGTCCCATGCATACCTACAAAATTCCAACCTCGCCTGATGCACTGAAGGGCCTGTTGCTTCTACCTCAACATTCCCTATATTGTTCTCTCTTGTTGGTTGAGTTTCCTATGTATGTTAAAGCAGCAGTAAGCGATTTGGTCGTTTCCGGCAGTTTCTTCTGCCTGAGCGAGTTAGTAGCCCCGCCCCCGTCCCTACGTCACACCACATGAACGCGCATCGTCTTGGTGATGGCAGCAGCAGGTTCATCTCCGTCAGGTCTACTCGTAAGTATATTAACAACTCTGGGAGTGAAATATTAGCATAGAATAGCTCAGTTGTAACCTAGCTATAACACTGGAAGCAGCTTGGTGTTAGCTAGGATAGCATCACTAAGAAAGAGATAAAAACAATCCAGTCTTTTATAGAATAATACTGCTTTTATAGTTGGTACACTGATAACTGTTGTGATAAACATAATGTTGCAGATTGCAGTGTGACGTGTCTCAACATTATGCACTGCAACATCTGTTACAGTGCATATGTATTAGATGAATGTAATGCATATACATTACAACAACAAAGCTTTACATGAAGGTTATTTAAAGTAATACATTACTGCTTTCCTCACAATTTGTATGTTTGGAGTTCTTTATAGACAACACTGTAGTAATGTATTATGTGAAAGTAAAGCTGCATCTCACTGGAAGCTGCCTTCTCAATGTCACAAAATAAAGATACATTTATTGATGTAATCAACATCTGTATTATGTGCTTATTGTTCAGAGAATGAAGACAAAATCAAAGTGTATCAGAGCTGTACAGTGAGATGTGGGACTGAAAAACAATTCCAGTAAAGCTTGTCCGAAACGCAAAAGTACTGTCATAACTAATTACGTTACACTATTACACTGTAAGGAAACTCACCACTTTGAAAGAAAAGCTACAAGTAACAGAATATATAAAGTCATTTGTCATAACGGTTCTTTCAGGAAGCACTGAACGCCCTCTGTCCAGAGAAGCTGATGACCAGATCCTTTCCCTGATGCGTCTGTGAAAGGTGCCAACAGACATTGAAAACGTGCTTTCCTCAGCGGCCCCCATGGTGCACGTCCTCAGTGGCCCCCATGGTGCACGTCCACTCTGCAGTTCTGAAATATGTTTGTAGTTGTACTATTTCAAAATAAAAAAAAAATACATTCACCTCTTTCAATGTGCTTTGTTTTATAGTAGGAAAACAAATACAGTCTGTAACGAGTCTAAGAAACTTTATTATGTAAAAGAAGATTTGAAGTTATAGCCGGAAAAATATACACAATGTCCCTACTAAGACAAATAATTACAAGTGATGGTAAGGCAACGTTTGTGTTATCACTTTTTGCTCAAATGAATAACACTGTTATTATCCAGGTCCTTATCCATCGCTGCTGCAGCGAACACTATCAGAGATATCTAACAAAATGTTAATCTTTATGTTGTAGCTTGTTTGAACACATTTCCTCAAAATAATTCATAAGCAGCCACGCACACACAGCCACACACACACACAGTCACACACAGTCACAAGCACACACAGCCACAAGCACACACAGTCACACACAGTCACAAGCACACACAGTCACAAGCACACACAGCCACAAGCACACACAGTCACAAGCACACACAGTCACACGCACAGACAGCCACAAGCACACACAGCCACAAGCACACACAGCCACAAGCACACACAGTCACACACAGTCACACGCACACACAGTCACACGCACACACAGCCACACGCACACACAGCCACGCTTCAGGGGCCCAGGTTGAAGGAACTGGAGTCTTCCTCTGGCAGAGATTTTCCTTTGAAACATAATAGAAGAGACATCAGTTTTATCTACTCAAATATGACTTTGATATATTCATCATCAACAACATCAGTATTTATTGATCACCAGGAGTGGACCCTGATTCACAGGATCCTTGAACATGTTTATTTGGACTGTGAGAGACTGCATTGTGAGAGAAAGACACTTACATCGGCTGTTTTGGGAGTCAAGTGATTATCTCACTCCTCTTGATTGTTGAAGAAACTCAGCGACAGTTTTGTCAACACTGACTCCTGGAACATGATCGATATTCATTTTTGACCTCAGGGCAGCAACACAACTGTAGGGATGAACGACACACACATCACAACATCATTATCATAATCACTGCGTCCCATATATGCATTCACAACAACCTACATGACAAATGTGGGGTGTAAAGTCTTCCTCAGGAGATGACAATGGCCATTCTTCTAATTCTGGAAGCAAAGTCTTGTCTTCCCAGTCAATACTAGAGAAAGAAGAGGTCAGCAGAAAAGTATCTAGTCGTTATGGCATTGTTTTTTTTTATAGTTATTTAACTTGCATTATGGAGGCTTTTGAACTCTTGTACATTGAAGACCTCATTCCAATTGATTTAGGCCATACTGGAAAAGATACAGAGAAAAGAATGCAATGAAGACATGTAAATTATTACAATGTCTATATTATATCATGCTCATAATTTATTTGGTAGTAGTCAGCAAGACTTTTCTTACTTATTCTCAATACATAATAATAAAAATGTATGTAGTGGTCACGGAAGTTAGATTTGAGGTAAAGAGATATTGTTTTTATAACAATAAAACTAATATACAGAGTGCAAGTTGCAAAACTTAGTCATTGAAGAATGAAATGCAGACCTACATATATATATATATATAGTGCAAGCAACTATGTTTATTGGCAAAAACAAACGATTCATACTGATCAGAAGTGTTCGTAGCAGCCACATCATATTCACAACTACAGACAGCTAATGCTAATGGCTAACGCTAATGCTAACAGCGAACGCTAATGCTAACACCATTTCACGGGGGAACTCTGGTGATATGGTCATTTAATTTTGTACATGTGGGGAACTAATAATTGACCGGAGTTTATGGATGGCTGAGGCTGGGCTAAGGCTTCGATGTTGTGTTGTCTGTTGTTGTTTCTCAAAGCTAAGCCAAGGTAATGCGCAGTTATTGCCACAAAATGCGGCCGTATTTCTACAACAGCTGGGGATTTTTAACTAGCTAACTTGATGAAAACCCGCATTACAGTCTCAGGCAACAATATGTATAAATAATACAACTACTACTGCCACTACTGAGTAACATGCTCACCTGTTCAGTCGGAGAGAGGAATCCACGGAGCTAGAGGTCGCCAACATGAATGCAGCTGGTCACCATGTTGCTCCTACTTTTTGTCGTTCCTCTGTTTCTGGCGTTTTGCCTGTATTTAATAAATCCATCCATGTATTTAGTCTGCAGCAGCGCTGGAGGCGGCTTTTCCTTCTCCGCCATGTTTGTTTTGAAGAGTGCGCGTGCACACACGGGAGAAACCCCTTATAAGGCGTGCTCTCTCGTCATTGGATAAGCGCATAGGATGTGAGGTTTTTTTTATTAAATAGGTGGGAGAAGACTGGAAGGACTGAGAGATCCGTGTTTAGGTACAAACACTCTATATAAGTGATGGCTATTGGAATATATCAATATTTAAGACGTATATTAACACCCAAAAATCGCTTACTGCTGCTTTAACAGAAGATTAATCATCACAATTCATAATTTGCTATTACTTGTGCTTTCTCTTACTTACTTTCCAACTGTTAAAAAAGCTCCTGATATCTTTTATCTTTTTTTGTGGAGGTGGCATTTTTTCTAAATTATATAAGAAGGTATAGACAATCAAAAACAGACATTCATATACATGAACTGCAGAATCATTTATATAACTTGGCCAATGTCAAAAGTTACATAGTATTTCTCAATACAATGAGTTAACAAGAGTTTGGCAATAAGTAACAGTGTGGATTTTTCTATATTTTCTTTTTTTTAATTCCACTCTCAACCCAAAAAGGCAACTAATGACTCACAGGGCTCTCAAGTATGCAAAATAAAAACTTAAATGACCTGTTGTGGTGTGTTTTGCGCACAACCAGCATGCATCGTTAACGCAATGGAAAATTTAGGTATCCGAGCTTTAATTTCAGAAGCGCTGGTTGCGCTTTGGGAAGAGTCAGGGGAGAGACATGTCAGAGACACAGGGGAGAAACGGGGGAGATACGAGGGAGACCCGCACTTGCAACATGGTTCTGTCTGCATATGGTCCGAGCTCGGTACCATGTTAGAGCTGTGCTTTCACTGAGCGCCGCGGCTGTCATTACAAAGCGGCACCAGCTGCACCAGGACGTGCACATTCGAGTGCATCGCTTGAATGTGCTTAGAGCAAATAACAGCAAGTGCCCGCTGTCACACATTTCACAGAAATTACATTATCAGCAGATAAAGGTTGTAAATCGTGGATCCGTGGAATATTTTCATCCCTAGTTTATCCTGATTCACACAACACACCCACTTATACATTTTGGATAGTAAGAGCACAATAAGTATTTTTTCAGCCTTTCAACCAACCTGTTTCTTTATTGGAGCCAGTTCTGTTCTGTCTCTGTGCCGTGTGAGCTCCTCGGAACATTAAACAGTGCGCTGACAGATTAGAAATAACGTAAGTACTTTGAATGGTAATAGATCTACAGTACTTTCCTCTGATTACTCACGTGCTACAACGCTCAGGGAACGAAAAAAAACACTTGCTTCACGCTGGCTAACTTTTAGAAATTAAACAGTTGCTCAGTGCTTCAGTTTGGCGCTGAAGAAGACAGCCAATCACTGCAGAGAACGGAACGGGTCACGTGCTGCTGCTGCTGCTGTTGCTCTGGAGGTGAGGAGGAGGCGCGACGTGTGCACAAACGGAAGACATGTGTCCCGGACCGTCCGGGTCACGGGCAGTGGCGGAGCCAGACTCTTAAACAGAGGGTGGCCAGGGGGTGGCAAGGGTTTTTTTGAGGGGTCCACATTTATACTATTCCGAAATTTTATTTCGCACAAAAACTGGCTAAACGATACATTTTAATCTTAATCTTGTCATTATTTTTAATATAAAGTGAACTGAGAGCACACTTGGAAACTCCATCCATCCATCCATCCATTTTCTACCCTTTAATCCATTTCTGGGTCAGGGGGGTGGCAGTCAGAGATGCCACCCAAGTCTCATAGCACCAGCCCCTCACTGACCCGCTGCAGGTGGTGAGTCCACAGGAGGACGGCTGCTCTCTGAGTGTGAGCAGAGCCTTGATCTTTCAGTGGGGGCTTATGGCAAAGTGGGGTTAAGTGTCTTGCCCAAGGACACAACGACAGCAGTCATCAGTGGGAGTCGGTGGAGAAGGTGCAGAGGTGGGAATTGAACCCACAACCTTCTGGCCATAAGGCCAATGCTCTACCAACTGAGCTACTGTCGCCCCATGCACTTGGGAAACTACAAAGCAAAAAAAAAAAAGTGTATTTAAATAGTAGTCTGAACAAAAAAAGTGCAAAATAACATCATTCAAACATTGCATTACATTTTTTCTTTTAACAAATTTAGCAAATTCCTACGGTTCTGGTGTAAAGCAGCAAAGATGTTGACAAACTCATCCATATTCAGCCCTGAGCCTTCCTTTACCCTACACTGAGGATACCAAGATGACTCAATCATCTGCCATGGTCGTTCTGAGATGGTTTTTAATAAGTTTTAGGACAGAGAAACTAATTTCACAAGACGCAGTACTGACAGGTATTAAAAAGATCTTTGCAAGCCTCAAAAAAAAGCTCATGAAACACTTTCCAAACGTTCCCCGTTTTGGGGTCAAGCGACTGCACATCATCCATAATCTTAGCTATTTTGTTTCTTTTTTTGTGTGTGAAAAAACGCCTTCTGCCAACAGACAATCCTGCACCTGTCTGCGACACCCTCTCATTCTCTGAAACTCAATTATATAAGCTATATTTTAATACAACACAACAAATTCCTCATCATCTTAAAACATACTGCCTCAGAGTCTGACCTTCAGGCTGATCTACAAGCCTTTTCCTAACAAAAAAAGGCCTGTAGGCAATGTTTCCTCCTTTTCTTTTAATGTTTAGACTAAAGGGAAGAGGGCGATGATACGATGGGCAATTAATAATGGAAAATAAACACGCATACACCCCGCACGCACACACACACAGGCACGCAGACCCACACTGGCACACACAGGCACGCACACACACGCAGACACACTGGCACGCTGACACACGCACACAGGCGCGCATACAGGCACGCACACACACTAAAAGTTCTACAAACTGAACAAGTAATGCGCTGCAGTACGTGTGTCTATACTTTGTGTCAAATGTAAACGGTTGGCTCTGCATCGCTAACTTACCTCTTTGTTTTCATCACGACTTGGGCACATGTCCAACAACCCAAAGCATTAGCGTACAGCACCGGCTCCATGACCGGCTCCACGGAGTCAGGGTGCGTTCACAGACGGGGGAAACCGTGGGAATTTTTAGCTTTTGCCGGAAAAAGTGCGGAAGATTCTCAAGATTAACATTATTACATTGCCGTCTTCCGAGGGGGGCACTGGGGGTGGCAAGGATATTTTTAGAGGTGGCAGTGGCCACCCTGGCTACCCCTCTGGCTCCGCCACTGGTCACGGGACATCATGTCATTTTGGTGGGGACTTTTTAGTCCTCACCAAATATTGGTGGGGACATGTCCCCATGGTCCCCACGCAAACCTACGCCCTTGAGTAAAGTGTTCTAAACTGAAAGTGATTGCGCAGAGAGCGGTTGGAAGCTGACACTGGTTTGTTGTGCGTAGGTTGCTAGGATACGGTACCAGATACTGAAGCGTAATGGAAACACAACCAGGTAGAGTAGAATCGAGCCGAGTAGAGCAGGGCCATGAAGGGCTGGTGGAAACAGGGCTTTAGAACGCTTCAGTACCAGCTCGGCCAAGATAACACCAGAACCAAGCTAAATGTAGTAGAACAAGTACGGTGGCTGAGTGGGTTCAAATCCCAGTCGGAACAGGGCCTTTCTGAGTGGAGTTTGTATGTTCTCCTTGTGTCTGCGTAGGTTTGCACAGGGGGCTCCGGTTTCCCCTACCACTAAAAACGTGTACAATAGGTCTGACATGTGCCTCCTGCAGGTGATGTAACTCCCATCTTACGTACTTAACAGAAGTAGTGGGGCTGGTGGAAACAAGGCTATAGCTGTGCCCATAAATGCCTTTCTTTACCATATCATCGTCTTTAACTTCTGCTGCCAGCTCAAAGTCGCCATCGTCAGAATCGTTTCCCTCATTCTTCTTGTTGTGTCTCTTCTTTTTGGTAAACTTCTTGTTCCTCTGACCCATCTCTGCTCGGTTTGATTGTTCCGCGGCAGGTCGTTAATGTTTGTGGCACAGACAGTGAATAAAACAGAAGTAAATCCCCGGCTCACATCACAACCATAACAGAGCGAGGCGCCATGTTGGACACACGTGTGGAGCTGATCCACTTCCGCCCCCACGTGCTCAGGAGACACGCGCCACACTGACCTCTGCTGGTGGCAATATGTACGACAAGCATTTAGAGCGTGTTTTATTGTTTATTTAGGGTTGTATAGAGCAGTGGCGGCCGGCCAATAGAGGGCGCTAGGGCGCCGCCCCACCACTCACAACTTGCCATGTTACCTTGAATAAAACGTTAAAAAAAATAATAACATTAAAATATTTCGAAATGTATGTGTGTTTTATTTCAGATGTGGAAGAAATACTTTATAGTTTATGCTGAGTTGGATTGATTAAGCTCATCAGCGTTGTCTGTGTCGGACTGAGGACGTATTTCCGCCTCAGGGCGCAAAAGATTGCGCCCTGAGCCGTCTATGGACTCTCGTTAAAAGTTGTACATGCGCAGTAGCTCCTCTTCAATGCAAGAGATAAGACGATTTGGGGGCGCAGGAGAAGTGCGCCCTGAGGGGGCGGGATCGCCCGCGACCCGTACTGTCACTGTCTGTGACGTCCGTTTACAGTGATTGACAGGTCAAGCTGTGGGAGTGTTTGAGACGAACGTAAAGAGACGCAAAATGGAGAACGAGAAAAATAATAATTCAGTTAGATCACTCAAAACAATACCGTTTGAGAGAAGATCATACCAGGAGAAGGTTGAGGTTAAAGAGCTTGGACCTGATCAGCCAAATATTACCATTAGTCAGCAGTCCAGGACCTGGTTCAGCGCCAAATCTTGGCTAGCAGCATGTAGCGAGGCTAATGCTTTATTTTGCTTTCCATGCCTCTTGTTTCAAACATCAGGATCTGACCCAGCATGGATCAAGACAGGTATGACTGATCTGAAGCACTTTTTAGAAAAGGCAAAGAAGCATGAGCAGACTGGTATCCACATGCAAAATGCCCTCAAATTAGCTATGTTTGGGAAGATAAATATTTCATCCCAGCTGGATGAAAGCTACAGGGTAGGGATCAGAAAGCACAATGAGGAGGTTGACAAGAATAGGCACATCCTATCAAAAATAATAGACTGTGTCAAATTCTGTGGTGCATTTATATCTAGTCATCATATTCATAGCCCCCCCAGTAGAAAATTCCACCAGCCGCCACTGGTATAGAGTTCACACTTTATTGAACCCGGTGTTCCCAGGGGTCTCCCATCACAGTGATAATCAGGCAATGTCATGCTTAGCTTCAGAGATTTACACATAAGAAAAGATAAGATAATGTAGGTGGCGCCAAATGTTTTATCACTGGTACATATGTCTGTGGAGGCCTAAAACATATCATTTCCATTCAACATTTCATGTTTATGTCAGTGTCAAGGTTATTTGTAAAGCTTATTTACCTGCTTGGTCCCGGTTCTATCCAGGTCAGATCTGGTCCTACAGTGTTCTAACTGACAGTGCTGCAGGAGGCCATTGTTATCAAGGAATCACCATAGAGTAGAACAGTAGAGTTGGTGATGTAGGGCTGGTGGAGACAGGGCTGTGTATAAAGGTTATAGTTAAAGGTCATTCTCAGAGGCTCTGGCTCGGCCTCATGTTTCTGCTTCATGGTTTGTTTCAGGCCAATGTTGTTATTCATTATTCATTTATTATTCATCTTACGCCTTTCTCTGTAAATTAGAGCTGCTGTGAGACGGAACAATGTTCTTCAACATCTGAGTTATTCCACTGGAATCAACTCATGATTCTGTGACAGTCAATCCACTTTACTTATATATACGTTTTTATGTGCTGCTAAACAAACCATGGCAGTAAAATCATTCAAATGAAATAAATAAGACAGAAACATACATACAGCCCTGTGCTCTGGGTTTAAGACCACGCATATTCATGTTGTGTGTTAATAGTATTGATAATGTCAGCAGCAGCAGTAGCAGCGGTGATGATGAGGAGGCAGATGGTTCCAGGTTGGATGTTTATTTTAAGACGCGGCCCGACGGAGTGTGACTTTAGCAGATGCTGCACTTAAGCCGCAGAGATTGAGGAGTCAGTTTAAATGACTGGATTATTCTGCTGATGTTTTCAAATCCGTTAAAAGCGGTAGTTAATATCTCCTGACGGCGTTATGTCAATGTAAAACTGAAGGGACAATGCAGCGGACAGTAAGAGCAGTGTGTGTGTGTGTCTGTGTGTGTGTCTATGTGTGTGAGTGTATGTTTACAATGAATACATTTACAGCTCTGGACTATTGTCTGCCCAACAGAAAATCTGTTTTAATCTGTTCATCTGTACATCCATTGGGCATGTTGACACCAACTTTCAGAGCAGTCAATTTGACGGCTTTAAACTCAGTGTGTGTACATTTCTGCAGCTGGAGTCCGACTAGAACCAGGAAGTCCCATCACATTAGTCCAGACTAGAACCAGGAAGTCCCATCACATTAGTCCAGAATAGAACCAGGAAGTCCCATCACATTAGTCCTGTTCTCAGGTCTCTGCACCTGTGACACAGAGAATAGACTTTAAACAGCTCTGTTTGTTACAAGACTCTCCATGGGACTCTGAGGAGCACAGGGACTGGCCTCCTGCTGGGATTCTGATAAGTCTCGACCTGGAGAGTAGAGTAGAGTAGGGTAGGGTAGAGCAGAGTAGAGTAGAGTAGCATGAGCAAATAGCCAGGACTGTTCTCTTTTCTGATGAACACATGATGGACTCAGTTACATTGAAACAGTAGAAAAACTCAGACCCAGACCCAGAAGATAAGCTGAAACCTTGTGTGGACGGATCCAAACAGGGAGCCGTCCACATGTGTCTGCAGCAGATGGAGACGGGCATCACCTCACGGCCGCGGGGCAGAGTCCAGCCGAGCAGAAGATCCAGGGCTGGAGCTGAGAGTGCAGATGGGCATAGGTTTGGATCTACAGCCTCAGTCCTGGGTCTACAGCCTCAGACCTGGGTCTACAGCCTCAGTCCTGGGTCTACAGCCTCAGTCCTGGGTCTACGGCCTCAGTCCTGGGTCTACAGCCTCATTCCTGGATCAGTTGTGGATCTACAGCTGTGTGCATGTGCGGGGTGTGTGTGTGTGTGTGTGTGTGTGTGTGTATAAATGTACAAACACATGCAAGAATATGTATATCTGTATTCTATTTTTCCTGCATAGATTTAACTGGCAACAATCACCTCCCGGGGCCCAGCTTTGCCGAACCCCTCACACCAAACACAGAATGCAATTATCAAAACGTGTTTAGTGAGATTCTGTGGTTGAACACGCAACATTAACCAGTCCTGAGGAGAAATCCAAGCTTCCCCCGGAGTAGACTGTGGTTATTAAGACTTCTGATGACTGCAGTAGTCAGTGTTATGGCCTGGAGGAAGTGGAGATGGTCACACACAACTGGACCGCTGCTCATTAGAGAGTCCCCATCGGCTTTCACTCCACGGCCTTAATGGTCCTTTCTGCTGCTTTTACAGATGAACGCACGCATAGAATTTACCCATTTACCCTGGATCTTAAAGTGCGATTATTATATTTGTTACAGACTATTTCACCAACATTAGATCAAACAGTTTGGACACAGGAAATAGACCAGAGAGTCCCGGAAATCAGCATGCGTATTTCTGACCCCTTGCCTGTGGGGGTGTACCCGGAAACAGAATTATCCAATACATCTAAGGCAGCGTTTTCTCCTCTCGAAAACCTCTTTACAGGATGGTCCCAAAGTGGGTTTTGGTCCAAAAGTGGGTCTTGGTCCAAAAGCGGCTCTTGCTCCAAAAGTGGTTCTTGGTCCAAAGCTATGTTACAGATGCTGCGGGATATGAGCAGGATGACAACTGTCCAGAAAACATCATATGTCCTTGATCCAGGACTGAGACTGTATTGATCCAGGACTGAGGCTGTAGACCCAGGACTGAGGCTGTAGATCCAGGACTGAGGCTGTAGACCCAGGATTGTGGCTTTAGACCCAGGACCGAGGCTGTCGACCCAGGACTGAGGCTGTAGACCCAGGACTGAGGCTGTAGACCCAGGACCGAGGCTGTAGACCCAGGACCGAGGCTGTAGACCCAGGACCGAGGCTGTAGACCCAGGACCGAGGCTGTAGACCCAGGACCGAGGCTGTAGACCCAGGACCGAGGCTGTAGACCCAGGACCGAGGCTGTAGACCCAGGACCGAGGCTGTAGACCCAGGACCGAGGCTGTAGACCCAGGACCGAGGCTGTAGACCCAGGACTGAGGCTGTAGACCCAGGACTGAGGCTGTAGATCCAGGACTAAGACTGAGGAATAGAATATAATTTATTTGTGAACAAAAACACAAGATACATTTTGTAAGTGTGTTGGAATCAAGGCTGAAGTAGTGAGTAAATGCAAGTTCATCTAAATCCCAGAGTCCGGACCGTGTTCTGCGGCTCTCGCTCCACTCGCAGCAGAACTGTCCAGTGCAGGGGATTTCTACAGACCTTAAGCCCGTTATTGTTGCTCTGAGCGTCCATAAGACTCACTTTCATCCTCGAACAGCAGAACCTCTTCATCGGCGCCTTCTCTTTGTGTCACCAGAGCCACAGCTGAAGGAGGAGTGGATTCTGAGCCGAGAGGAAGGTCATCCGGACCAATCCGGGTTTTTACATCTGAAGTGTGCGCAATGGATGAAAAAGAGACCAGAGAGAGACCAGAGAGAGACACTAGAGAGAGATCAGAGAGAGACTAGAGAGAGATCAGAGAGAGACTAGAGAGAGACCAGAGAGAAACTAGAGAGAGACCAGAGAGAGACCAGAGAGAGACCAGAGAGAGACTAGAGAGAGATCAGAGAGAAACTAGAGAGAGACCAGAGATAAACTAGAGAGAGACCAGAGATAAACTAGAGAGAGATCAGAGAGAGACTAGAGAGAGAGACCAGAAACAGACCAGAGAGAGAGCAGAGAGAGAGTCCAGAGAGAGGCCAGAGAGAAAGCAGAGAGAGACCAGAGAGAGACCAGAGAGAGACCAGAGACAGACCAGAGAGAGCCAGAGAGAGCCCAGGGACCATAATGTGTGAGAGAGAGAGACCAGAGAGAGACCAATGGGAGAAACCAGAGAGAGAGACCCATTAGAGACACCAACGAGTGAGACCAGTTAGAGACAAACGGGAGAATCAGAGAGAGACAAATGTGAGAAACCAGAGAGGGAGAGACCAGAGAGTGCCATGGAGAGCCCAGAGAGAGCATGCTGAGAGAGAGAGATTGTACGGGAGCTTGTTAGGTTCATTTGT